CTATAATTTTATCTTTTTAATAGTAATAGGAATCTATAATAACAAATTCAACATGCCAGCATTGTTTAAGTATATGTATAGCCTATACATCCTTAAGAGGAGAGATTGACATAGGAATTTACGGTTTTGCTGTTTTTCAATTCAAACACGAAACGAGACTTATCGTCCTATCATCGGTGGTCATGTTGCCTCATTGTAATCCGACAGCTGGTCGCCGTTTCACGCATCAGGGCACTCGCATTCCGATCGTCATCAATATAAATTGTCATTGTTTTCGTCGCAGGTGTTACACCGGCTGATTAACGGCTCGGCGTAGGTATGCTACGTACAGCACATTTAAAAAGGGTCCCAGTATTCAACCGCGTTCAACTCGTGCTCTGCCACTTTAGAAACACGATTTCAACACTTTTCCTCTTTTCTGCTTTAAATTATCACTGCCACTGTTACTTCTGTAAGATTTCTTTCCTTTGTGAATATATACTTAAATATAAAGTGAGGATCATTTATAATTGATATCCTTTATGATTCCTGCAAGTCTCAAAGACTGCTTTCGCCTCAGTCATTTTTTATTAGAAATGCGCTTGAGAATAAGCGATGGGGGAACATTTACAAACGAGCAGTACTTGAAAGCTAGGGACTCGGTTTAAAATCAGAAAGTCGGTGCATGCATTTCAAGTTTATAAATAGACGGAAGCTGCGCGTCTGGCCAAAGAGACGAAATAAGAAAAGTAGGAAATCAATCGGAAGCCGGGTGTCTTGGTTACTAATGACGCGGCCGGCGGAGGTATACGTACGGGTAAACGGAGAGGATCAGAGATGAGAGAACGAAAAATAAGAATCTCGTAGACGGTACGTGGCGCCCGGTGGCCTGTGACTTACGTCACACAGCTAAATATATGCCTGCCCGTTTCGTTCCCGATCTCATTCCCATTCTCGTTCTTCAATCTATCCCGTGTCGGCATGTATACACTTTGTACCGTACCCTCCTATCGTATCACCGTTGCGTATCATTACGAATGGGTTGCGTCATTATGCACAACTTCCAAACACTCATTCTCTATGAAAAGGTCGGGTAAACATATTCCATTCTAGTGACTATTCGATTTTTAATTGAAACATTAAGTGAATCATTCAAATAAAATTGCCATTGAAGGATAGGGACTTATAAACGGCTGTATACGTGGCACGCATGGGACGATGATGGGATACGAGTATATGATACAAGTGGATGCTCACCTCAACGCGACGAACAGCTATCCTTGCTCTCTAGCAAAGACATTCATGAAATTGCTTGGCTGCTTTCCCCTCCGAGAGCTGGCATTGTTTCTCGCGATTCTCTGCTGCTCGACCCCCTGGCGTATCGTTTATGCAACACTTGTGAATTGCGGAGCTTTTATAGGTAATCGTGAGCCTCATGTGTTCCGGATTATTGACGGTAAATCGGGTTCCGGGAAGCGTTTATCAGTTTTGAGAACCGGTAATAAAGGGGATATTGAGTCAGCGTAGAAGGAAACAGGACACGAGCTACGGACGTGCGTAAATACTTTACAGTTAGAGGAAATAGGGTGGCTGCAAAATTATTTTCTACGGATTAAACAATAATATAATTTATTGTATGATTGTTTCGTAATATATTATGGTGTAACAAGAAACTGTAAATGAGTTTGGAATTAAATTCTAATCAGGATAGATTTGAATAATTGGATTTATAACAAATTTCGCAATTTGTAATGCACAGAAACATAAAAAATATCAACAGTTATTACAATGATCAAATGATGAGAGAATATTCTTGTCTAATATTCATTTCTTTAACTATAACTGACATCATAAATGTTTCATTTCTAACTGAAGTCCGCAGTCTGGTAATTATTTTAATTTCAGTTGAAAATAAAATTAGTATTTGTCGCGCCGGGTGTAGAGTAGCTAAACGGAAGATCCAGAATAGGAAAAGAGAGATTGGTGGGTTGCACAGGCCTGTTTCGGGTTTTGTTCTTGATCCTGTTAACATCTGTCGTCGACAGCTCCGTTTCTAGAAAAATTCCCGTGCAGCAGCTGCCGCTGGCAGCAATCTTTACGCTTATTCGCCCCTATTTTTTCTACAGACAAGCGACTTCGCCAACCCAAATATCTTCCTAACGAACTGCAATTGAGAATACACTTACAAAGGTGAAAGTTTGACTGAACTCAAAATCGTAACAGGGAACTTTGAAAAATAACGAATTCGATTGTGCTTTTTAACGTAAGTACAATTTATATTTTTCTCAATTTAGTTTATTTAATAGAAATCCTACTAGTTTGTTGAATTGCAGTGTTGCAAAATTATTATAATATTCAAGGCACGTTTAATTGTACATAATTAAAGGAGTTGATATACTATTTTCAAATTCCATTTAAATATTCTTCATTTTATTCTGTGTTAATCAATTTTGCACTTGAATGCTTCTTAAATATGAGACGAACGAAATGAAATGAAGTTCGAAGAAACGCGATACGAACGAAGGAACGAAAAATAGGTTTCCGCTGTTCGTAGTCGAAGGTTTCCCGAGGTCGGGTAACGGAGTTGGGGTGTACAAACCCCAACGCAAACCAACGTACGCATACGAACGTCTTGATAGTAGACACAGTCACGCATACTAGTTCGTCTACGACCGTTCGAAGAACGAACAATTCCCCTGCTTTACCCAAACCTGGCCTTGGACTTCTATACCCGGTGTCCTTTAAAAAAATATCTACTATTCTAATTTCAGAATGGTCGCGTCGCGGGTTTCGCTTCATTTGTTGCGGTTCATATTGGCTTTGCGCTTTGTACAGATTTTTGAATATGAAAATTATATGAAAGAAAGGGAACTCAGTTTTTCTAGGTGTTATATTTTCCTGTGAAAATCCTGCAGCTATTAAATATTTGCTGCGTCACGCGTTTCGCAACGTATCATTGAGTATTCTTAAAAATGTACGAGGAAAAAAAAGATTATATCGACGTAGGAAACCGCAATTGCGCATTAAGATCCTTCGGAATGGCGCGACGAATGCTTGGTTAAAATCGGGATAAAACGCGTGAAACCGATAAACAAACGAATGATCGGATCTCGAGCGTGCAGCGATCGGGTGGCTCCGAAAATAAACGAAGTGCATGGCATCGAGCAGCGTCGCGTCGTCGCATCATCGTCGTCCTCTTTGAAGCTATGAATGAAACGGCCAAGATTCTCGAACGGCGTGAATTTACTCAACTTTTCAATGAACCTTGACCTTTCGCGTCGTAACGCGTCAGTCGGTTGCCGTGTATATTTCCATTGGCGTAACCTGGCTCTCCCGAACGAGAGAGGGTGGGAGAGAGGGGGTATATCGGGTCCGCCGTTTCGACTACCAGGTCTCATTGATACCTCGGTCGAGTGGCTCGGTGAAAAGTTTCGAGCGGTGCTACGAGAAACCCACTGGCAGAAACTTCTTCCTCAAATAAACGAAGCGTACAACGTTTCAATGCCTAAACTGCTGTAAAACAGTTAATCGTTAATTGTTACATAATATCCAGCATCAATGCATCGTGAAAAAAATTTTGTACCGCCTGCCAACGCGCCGATGAGCCATGCCACTGCCGGGGTATCTTTTCCTCTCGGCGAGTTTTTTTTTAGAGCCTCGACGAGACGTACTTTCCGGTCGTTTCCTAGCTGCTCGCAGCTGATAGGCAGCCAGAGATAGCGAGGCTCGTACGAAGGCACCGGTAACAACCAGCTGAGTGGCGCCAGCCATCAGCTGTTGGTGACTCACCCGAGCCGAGAACGGCGCGACGGCACAAACACAATCCGCGTGTTCCTCTCTCGCGAGCCTTCTCTACACGTGCAACGGACGTGCACGTATACGCTTATGGTCGCGCTTGCGCGAGCACAGCCGAGGAACGCGGACGTGGCAAAACGGATTCGAGTTTCTGTGTGCGCCCAGCCACCGACGATACCGATCCCGCGACGTATTTAACTTTTTCGCGCCCACGCGGCACACTCCGTCACCGGTGGCGGGTCCACATTTTTATACCTTCGTGGAATCAAATTATGAAACGTAATCGTGTGATACAGTATCAATCTAGAGACTGAAAGTATTGCCTTTTCGTAGAATCGTAGAATCGAAGTCGAGGTAGAAAGTATTATTGAGCATTCTAGGATAAAATTGAAGTCGCCGTATCATGTTTGATAAGAATTTTCGTATAAGTACAGAGCTCCATTCAATGAAATTTACTCATATGTTCCTTAAAACCTGAAATTCGAATAGGGAAGACTATTCATTGATTTAATCAAGGATATCAAATTCAAAATTGTTATTTCGTATCTTGTGTGAATTTCTGTATGAATGCTTCCATAAGCAATGTCTACATTTGTACGATTGATATCACACATTGTGATACACGTGTCGTCTTATGGAAGAAGTCTTACATTCGCGAAATTGGAGTCCGGAACTTCTCAAGGTTCCATAGTTCCCATCTGACATTATTTTTGTAAAACAGTTTATCAACGAAAAAAATTCTATTTCATGCGGATTCAATGGATTTTCCGAAACATTAAATATTCGCTGTATAATAAAGATAAGAGAGTTTGCTTTACGAGACTTTTAAACTGATATCATAAATGTTTTAAAATTGCGCAATCTAATTATTATATTTACCCTATTATGTAGTTAGTAAAGCAGTAAAATTGTTTAATGAACCAAACTATAGGTAACAGTTCATTTTAATTATCCGCAAAATTCAAACTTCAATTATATCAAATTTCTTGCTGTTCAAAGCGCGTGCATAACAATTACCTCATTTAGTTTCGCGATTAACAATCTTGGAAGGAAGTTCTCAGGCGAATTTAGTAACCCAGCACATCTACAGAAGCCTTTAAACTTTAAACGTTGCGCCTCTCAGTTTCAACGTCGTCAGTATTATCTGATACGATAACGCGGCACAACTAACACGTACGACGAGATAAACTCGAGCATCTTGGAGGAAATGTTTATCGGGGGCTTGTAACTGAAGTAGCATCGTTAATCCAGTGGATTCTCAAAGGGAACGTTCAACTTGGAAACCAATTGATGTCTGCGTTTAATTAACGGTTAACCGGCTCATTGCGGCATGCAAATAATTTGTGAGTTTTCAAATTGCATTAATGCAACACTTATCTCTTACCCCATAGAGAAGATTAATCTCACTGGAGGTAATCTTATCGCAACCGCCCATACAAAGTGAATGAATACGCATGAGCATGGGTTCTACATTAATCGTCTCATGATTAGAGATTTATAAAGTTAATAATGAATGCAACATATGCAGTACGTTTGAATGCCAACGTTATTTGATTTTTTAATCGAAGATCGTCCATTGGCAATGAGGAAGAAAGGGTGAGGAGTCTGGAACTGTTGTCTATTAGAAGAGAGGGCTCGTTAACGGAACGAGTACAGATCGTGTTTACCCCTTTTGAAAGTGCAATGTTATATACATATATATATAAAGTCTGCGACGAAAAGGAAGGTAGCCAGCCACCTACTTAGTCGACCTACTTCTGCGGGACCGATTCGAGTGAACTCGGCGGGTACCCGACGAACAGGCTGACGTCACAGCAGCCAGCCATCCAGCCAGTAAACCGTCAGCTGATCTAATGTAACCACTCGATCGGAGAATGCTGTGTTGAATTCAGCCGCCGATGCGTGGACCACGTGTTATTATTGTATATCCTATAGGAAGTCCGATGACTTCATCAACTCCGTTCATTGATCTAGTTCCGCCTAGAATTCCACCAGCTTTTTAACCTGCCCCCGTTTTCAGCCGGCCTACTCATGCTTCTCCGCTTCCATTCATTAATCTTGGTAGCGTCTGCTTCCAGATTTTCATGTGGCGATTTATAAAAGAGTGACGGTACATTTATTTTAGTTCTTTTAATAATGCAAAACGTTTTCTTCTCTATACGAGTTTGTAGAGGATTTGCATATGAAAGACGTTTTACATTGAATTTCATCAGGTCGAATTGTTCACATTTCTATCGCCCGTTTGGCATTGGAGTTAGCGAAATTGATTCCCTTGAAAGTGTAGAGTTCACAGAGTTTCATAATTTCAGCTGCTCTAACTTGCGAGGCTCTTTGAGTTGAGGGTTTAAAGTTCGAGGTTGATTCGCTTAAACGTTTCGGATATAAGACTAACAAGTTCGGTGGTTATATTATAGCCATTCGACATTGCCAGACAAGGGTAAATATTTGTTTCACGCTACTTCAAGCAATTAACGTTTTTGAACTAATCACAAGTGAATCACACATGCATTGTGAACTTGCTCTCCTCTATTTTATCCTGATCAACGAATGAAAACGGTAATTAAGTTTATGATAGGCAGTGACAAGAGGTGATGATATTTGTTGAACAAAAATGAATAAATTCGTTAATAATTTGATAAAACATTTTAAGTAATAAACGTTGGAAGTTAAGACATGACGTGTTGTTAAAAATAATCTCATTCTGTTTTAATCGCGATTGTTCCATTTAAATTTCAAATGATATCAATGTCATTTAACTCCCTGAGTGGAACGAATATGCATTTACATTTTACCATACTTTTATTATGTATATATTTTCTAGTACAAAATATTATAACAAATATAAATTAAATATTTAATATGTTGAAGCGTTGAAATGTTGTCTAGGGAAATTTATATTAAATCATCTAATAAAAATGCAAATTGCACTATGCGAAAATTCCAGTTAAGGGTTAAAATAATTAAGTCATGATTTGGCAAGCCGATGGTCACAAAATTATCGGCTCTGTGTGTGCGTACAGTCCTCTGTATGTTATATGTGGTACATACATATTCCACTTCTATTATCGGCACGCGCTGAACGAATGTTTCAGAGAGCAGGGCACAAGGTCACGGTCTTTCCCTGCTGACTCATCCCGGCATCCGCCATGCCGATCTTTTTCCTCTTTTCTTTTTCCTCTCTCCCTGGCATATCGTCCCCGACGCGCGTCTCACCATGTAATTTTACCAGATGTTTCCTAGCGGACGCGCGCAGCCACCACCCGTTTCCCGTTCCCGTCTTTCTTTTCCCGTGCTCTCGGCCAGGAAACGTTCGTCTCTCCGTTCCTCAACTATTCATTATACACCCTAATGCCACACTGCTTTTCTCAACTGTTAATCTTCCTTAAACGAGCCACCACCCTTTCGTCAGAGAATTGCTATTCGGGATATACTATTACGGATCGGATTCACGATTATTATATCTTTAATCGAGTAATTTATGAAATGATTCTCATAATCGTGTAATCTGATTTTTAGTTCGATTCACGCTATGCGTCCGCTGTTTCTAACAATTGATGGGATTTATATATTTTAATTGTCAGTGGAATAAATTTTAATCATTACGATACTGGCACGCGGTATTGATAATATCGAGTTTTTAATCTGATATTAATGTACGCTGGAACAGAATACAGAAATGATGGGCGATTGTCCTACATTAAATTGGATTCGCGCAATATGCGACAACACGCAGTGCCTCCCTGTCCTTACTGATTCACTCGGTGTTTGTAAATGAACCGGAAGCAAATTCAATAGCTCCCAATACATAGTCACCGGAGGGTACGAACGTGACACTCCATTTTTTCACACATCGTGACGCTGGTTTAAAATTAGGTGCAATAAATTTGATACCAAATTTTATGTTTAATCAAATGTATTTAATGACAAAATGTATCTGGTAAACCACCCTGTGTACATGTAAATGTTGGGATAACGTGGAGGCACGTGTCAAATGCAAACTATAAATATACATACGTACACAGAGAGGAATTCGTTGCCGAGGAGAATATATTTATTTCAATCTGTAAAAGGCTCGTAAACAGTTGACATTGAAACGTATCACGTACGTGGAAATTGTAAAAAGCGTGGCTGCACAAGAAAATGTATGAATAATTTTATGTTGCGTGTAGAACCGAGAGCGGGTACGCCTTTGAGGCCGGCGTAACCGCAGAACGACAATGATGTCTCGCTTCATTGACCGCGAATTTAACTGCCGATAAGTTGCGCGCGGCCGCTACGTAGTTTCCGTGAAACAAACAACTCGACGCTTTCAATTTCCTTAAAAGCCCTTGGATCCAGACAGGCACACAGCCGTTTTTGTATTTCCGCCTGCTACTGGTTCTTTCCCCCTCTGTACCTCGTTCCTCCTCTTCCTCTGCGGCACGTATCTGCTTGTAAATCAAATATTCAAAGCGGCCACGAAACCCGGCGTCGAAACGTGGACATCATATGGGGCACACTCAGAGAGCCGGACGCGGTGTCAGTGTGTCCTCCTCCATTTCGTCCCTTTGATTTCGCCGGATCTCTTTGCCGGTTACGAAAAAATGCTTCCCGCGAGGCGTTTCATGCTAGCTATCAAATGAATACGCTCGCGCTCTAATGTTCGCCCATTGAAAACGACAAAAGTACAGCAGTTCTTCAAATTGCTTGATTACTTTTTTACTATCATTCTTTAAATGTTCTCTTATACAGAGAGTAAGAATTATTATTTATAATTATTCTCTAGTTATTGGTTTGATTATGTATAAAAAAAAAAGTCCGACAAGAATACATTTAACTAAAATCAAAGAAAAAATTCATTTATCAGTAATCAATTTATTCAGTAATCTCCATCGTATAATATATTCATACGCAACTTGTTTTGATAGAATATCGAAGTACTAAATTTTGAATAGATGCCTGTACGTTTAAACATTTTTTCGGGCAATGTTTTGTAAGAAGTAAAAAAGATCGAGTAAGAGCGACGCGTATTTCAAAACGTAAAGACAATTTTTTTTTATAACACGTGCATAAAAAAGATCATTTTCGGCACTTGTAAAGTGGAGTGAAAATAGAGTTTCCCGAGCGTCAGAAATAAGGTGGACCGAAAATTGCATTTTACGGCCCTAGAGCCTAAGTTTTATGGCCTCGCTTGGAAAAGCCCATTTTCGGCTCTTATTGTACAATGTATCTGTCCGACCTGCGGTACGTAGCATAACTCATTCTGTTTCGGTAGTCAGTCTTTCGGGTGGCCGAGCTTCGGACAGACGCCTCTCGTGTTAACAGTCCGTTATTGGTAATTAGTATATATAAGAGAAACTTTATTACATAGTTTTCTAATTTCAATACGTACTTTCTTTTTATAATTCATTAATTTACTATATTTAATGCGAGTTACACGTAAAGATTTCGTTGTAATTATTGAATGTTATAAATATTGTTGATGCATTTTTATAAATTGTTCCGGAGATGATTAAAGGGCGTCGATTTTTGTTCCCAGAAGTCTTGAAACGGTGGAGGAGGGCTCGGTGACCACGAGCGTGACGGTCGCCGAGGTCGTTGATTCTCAGGAGCTCCAACATCAGCAATCGAAGAGCAACGGCGCAGTTTCCCGGCGTGTTGCTGGTCAGAACGTTGCGTTGAGCAACGGGAACGGTACCAGCAACGTCGGCCGCGTTACGCCGCGTAGCCACATGGAGCAGGAGAAGCGTATGCGGCGAGAAATCGCCAACAGCAATGAGCGACGACGTATGCAGAGTATCAACGCCGGTTTCCAGTCGCTTAGGACGTTGCTGCCGCACCACGAGGGCGAGAAACTTTCTAAGGTAAGTGATCAATCCTTCTACTGATCGCTAACACGGAATCGTCATTTTATCGGTGGGAAAATTATGTCATGGAGAGAATTTAGTCCTTCTCAATAATAATTATCTATTTATAAGATTGTTTGTCAAGATTTAAATCAATTCTTTGATTCTGTGTTAAAGGGTGTCTCTGAAAAAAATAACTGATGGATCGATAAATTACAGAACTGATTGTAAATACAGATTTTTTTATATAAATATTCGTATTCATCTTTAAATAATTTTTCCACCGATGCAATATAAACTCCACCGTTCCTCGTGTGAAATTTGATCGTTGGGTACTACTAGTCTCCGCATGAAAAATGGGGAAATCCTCCTCCTGTTGCTCGAACAGTTAATCGAGATTTACTCGCGCCACGTGCGAGTTCGAAGTTGTTCGGCGGGAAGAAACGAATCGGAACGTTGAAAAGTTTCTCGAAACGGATCATACGTTTCATCCATCAGTAGTTCTAGATGCATTACCATTACCATCGATAGGGATATCCGTAGCGCTTTCTCCAAGAAGTTATCTGTGCTGGAGAAAGAAAGCTTGAATATCATTCTTCCAACTTCGTTCAGCCTGTTATTTCATAGGTTGGCTCTCTGAATTCGTAGCCCCGATTGTAATCGCATTTTACACCTCGATCAGCGTTTTTATATAATTTGTACATAGTTCGTAGTACGTAGAATAAATCCAGAGGGTTGATTTTGCACATGGAATGTATTCACTGTCTATTTAGCCATTTGCACGAGATCAGAGAAAAGTGTTGCATTATTACGTTTTTCATGATCAATTAATAAAAGTCGTAAATTTATGAATTATTTTGGTATACAATGGTTTTATCTATCATTTTCGGCGCACACGGAAACGTGAGATGTATCTCTACCTATCCGCTGGTCTTGAATTCAAGTGCAAAATGTGCAGGGCGTACAAAAACTTATTCTTATGCCGCACTTTTTGCACGTCATCCAGACTGTCAATGATCATCGCACACTTTATTCTATCGTCTGAGTGGTGTACGGCTGTTCAATAGTACCACTCTGCGACACATTCATTTCTATGATCTGCTTTTTCATTCATCACTCTGTCATCAGTCGATTGACCCTTTGAAAGGAAAACTGAACTTTTTTTTCTAACGTCACCACTACGCGTTTGCTCGATCAATCAGTTGAAACGTCTCCGTACATTAGACTGTATTTCAATTTGTAAAATTTGATTTGCACAAATGTTAATACACTGTGTATATAAATAGCTGGCGAGGACTGTAAATATTTGTAAGCGTGGTTTCACCAATCTTTATTTCAGTGCCGAATAAGGATTACGATTTTTATTTTTTATTAAACGTATTAAAAAAGGAATTTCATCAAAAAAATTTGAAACTGGTTGTAAAAGGTACGAAGTACGTACCTTCACATGCCACAGTGAAAGATTATGGACTTTACCTTGGCAATAGAATAATAGATTTAGCAACGGGAATTAAGCTAACGATAATAGACCGTTAGGAGCCGTCGATGAGCGAATAAATTATTTATCAGCCAAGCACGTTTGACCGTTTACGGTGTCCGAGTCCTTTGCAGGATGTCGACTTCCACTAAGGTTAACACGTGAACCGGAAACGGTAACCTGTTTCTCTTTGGTAATTCGCCAATGAAGCTCAATCGCGTTCCCGCGCAAATCTATGTATTAGTGCGTACCCAGCCAGGAATGACATTACGCAATGACCGGCGGCTTTTACGAATTGTTCGACTAATTTTAGCGCGTGAAAGTCGTCGCCCGATCCCACGCGGTTAAACTAGACCCGGCCGCGTCGGTCCTCTGCTTCTGTACGCCTAGTCGCGCCGGTGGCTTTAATCGTTTATCTCGACCGTAGTCCGCACCGTGTGACACTGACCGCTTTAGTTTGCCCTTATACGGTTGCCTCTTCCTCACGTCGAACGTCAGCTGATACGCCCTCGTTGTCGTTTAATCAAAGATGCTGTGCCGAGAATTCATCACATCAAAATCACTCAGCTGAACCTGTATACAAAAGTTAAAGTGAAATAATACTGGCTTAAGTGGCTAAATTTTCTTAAATGAAAAAGAAAATACAGTAATTATGTGCCATTTTGATTTGTCAAAATACAAGAATAAATGTTTCGATATAATCGTTAAATAAGTCGTAAGATTCGTACGTTAGAGAATATCTGATTTAGCACCAAGATGATTCAATGGCGGGATAAAATCGTGTACGCACAGAGCAGTTTCCTTTCAAGCATCACCGGTGCTTCTCTCGCATGTGAATCAGCTCTCCTCTGTCTCTCTCCCTCTCTGTGGGTGTGCGGCGTACTTTCGCAATGCGATATTTCGCGAACCAGTCCTCGGGCCACATGGTTCAATTCCCACGCATTTCTCTTAAGGAGATCGCTCCGTTCCTTTTGTTCTTTCGCTCTTTCGCTTTCTTCTCACCGCTGTTCTTCCTTCCATCCCGCCGCACCCATCCACCACCGCCGCAGTTTCACCCTTTCATGCCTTTTTTCGTTGCCCGCCGTTCGGCCTCGCGTCCCTCCGATTCTTTGTCCCTCCTCTCCCGCGCTTCGTCTCTCTCGCGACAAAGGCCACGCACGACGGCCTGCTCGACGAATTTCGGCCGAAGCCCTGGCCCACTAAGAACCACCAACCTCTTCTTCTTCTTCTTCTTCTTCTTCTTCTTCTTCTTCTTCTTCTCATCCTCCTCTTCTGTGCGCGCCGGGTTCCCTTTCGCTACGTAGTGAATATTAACGAGATCGGTGACCAAATAAGAAGCATCTCGTATCCTCTTTTTGCTCGTCCCGAAACTTTTTCTCTCTCCTCGCTCGTTACCTTCGTCGAGAAAACGTCGCCCGACGTTCTCGCACTAATTGCTCGCTTACGCAGTTTTCGTGGTGATTATTATCGATGAATGAAAGTAGAAACGGATAATACGTCTCTGTACGCAATGCAGCGGCGGCGGTCTTGAAGAGTGTCGCGCCTTGTGTACCAGCAGCTTTGCAAAGGAAATAAAAAGGAGTGCAAATGAGCACAGACGCCTCGACCCATTTTCATTTAGCGCTCACCAGACAAAAATAAAAATAAATCTTTCCCTCTCTCTTTCTCTCCGTTCCCGCGCCTTTTAATGAAACTCGGTGCGTGCTTACGAAGCCGTCGTTGTCAGCGTGCGCGTGCGTGCATGCGTGCGTGCGTGGGTCGGGGTTGTTTCGCACGCATAATCGTGCTTTTGTGTCGCGAGATCGATCTCGGATGTGTAGCGTAATCCTTGCGCGACCCTCGGACGTGTTTGCATTGAGACCGTCTTGATTAATGCCGGGTAACCATCCTTCCTACAATTTTTACATCGTAATGAATCCTATTACCATTTGTTAACAAATTTTTTCTGCAACAGTCATGAAAATTATTATTAACACTGAAATAAGTTATTTCGTAATAGAAGCAGTCCATATGAAAATTATTAGAAAAGAATCTCTTGTAAATAATTTCGTACAGAAATTAAATTCACAATTTTTCAATTCTTAAGTTTTTTATTATAAATTTCAATTTAATAGCCATAAGAGAAATTGGTTTAAAAAATTGAGGAATACATAAACCTTGAGATACCCGGAGAAAGAATTTACATGTAAAACATGGATGTATATTTTTTTTTTTATCGAGTATTCTTGAATCAAATGGCGGAGACGGTTTGGAACTTTTGCGTTGTTCTGTACGCGCGCGTCGTTTCGGTAGGGAAAGACGACGGGAACCCCAGACGTCACGTGCTTTGCCCGTTGGCGAAGTCTTCTCCATCTCCTGCTTCCCTCGTGCCAATGGTAGTATGTACGCGGGTATACATCCGTGTGCACATATCCACTACGAAACACAGAGCGCAATAAGTGGCTTTGCACCGCTGCTAACACCGCAGCGTCGCGTCGTATCCTAAACTTCCTTTTTTGCACTTATTTTTCCCGTAGCACTCCTCCGTATCCCCGGCACACTCCGTGAATGTTAATGCGTTCGACGCTGAGAAACTCGGAAAGGTAGACACGTGTACTGTCGGTCAAAAGATTAGAACTATTGGGATATTATGTACGATTTATTTTTTATGAAAAAATAATTTTTATCAATTATAATTTGTGAGGTTTAAATTAAAATAGTAGATCAATAAATCATTAGACGTTTCCTTTCAGAAATGCAAGGAAATAAATGTTTCGTTATGTATACGTAACTAGTGAGTGAAACTTGAATGGTAATTCGGCAGATTTTTTACTGCTGGTGTATATACACACACGAGAGTAAGCGCACGTTTGTCGGCCAGTTTCACAACGATGATTCATTCGGTTTCGTTGGAAATCTGCCCTCCACGTCGTTTACGCGTTCTGTTTCTTACATACACAATTATCACAATTTTTGCTAATTAAATTTGTACGTACAAACGCGCGTAGAAAGCATCAGAATTATTATTCTTAGAAGATGACAAAAGTTCGTATTCACATTTTATTTTCTCTTCTTAGAAATGGTCGATTTTGCATAACAATTGACAACCTAAATACGAAATACGACGTATGCAATAGATTTTCCATACAAAATTCGGGTAGGATCTCGTTCCGTTGTTAAAGGAGCATCGCGACCGGTCCGGTCGTACCGTTCAAACAAACTCGCTTTACCAATTGGTTCGGTCGCCTCAGCTGAACGCGAGGCTAAATGTATGGGCCCCGGAGCATCTGGGTCATTTTACTCCGCGCTCCGCGGCGCCCCTCGCCCCGGTTTCGGACCCTCTCCGTCCCTTTGTCTCGGGCTTCCCTTCTTCGGGTCCCTCCTTCTGGTTAGACCGACCGACAAAGGTCTCGGCATGGGTATATACCTGCCGCCACGCCGATACAGCCGTTGCTTTCTACAAGGTGTCTCGAGTGGACAGAAGAGAAAGTTGCGCTTACCTGGAACCATACACGGGAACCGCGGTCGGAGGATTTATTTTGCTTCGCGTTAGATCGAATTT